ATGGATGGTATTACACATACCATCATAATGATACATTTGCTGCTCTGTGATGGATGGATGGATGGATGGATGGATGGATGGATGGATGGATGGATGGTATTGCACGTACCATCATAATGATACATTTGCTGCTCTGTGATGGATGGATGGATGGATGGATGGATGGATGGATGGATGGATGGATGGTATTACACATACCATCATAATGATACATTTGCTGCTCTGTGAAGACTACAGTACACAGAGGCCAGCTGGTGCCATTTGAAAATAAAATGGCAAATCGTACTCACCCCTTCCAGTTGTTAAAGAAAAGACTTATGTAGTCCCCCCCCCCCCCACACACACACACACACACACTCCCCTCCGCTGAGTTGATACATGTTTAACTTTGCCCATCACTCGACAGTCTTGAAGCAGTTCTTCAAAGTAAACGTGGTGTGTTGATCAGTTTTATTTCTCAAACTGCAGCAGTGTTTAGTTTGTGCATCTTCTACATTAGCTCTTTCCACACTTCTTCTTCCAGGTGATGCTGTTGTCAGTTATTCATCGTTCTGTTTCCACACAGCAGCATGAGTGGTCAAAAGGCTCTTTTACACATGTGGACATTGTCATTAGGTCAGAGCCATGTTTGCTAGGGAATAAGAACCAAGCAGCACTAGATCCAAACCATGTTATCCGCAGACATCCAACTAAAACCCTTATGATCAAACGTTGCATAACAAAGTGTATTTTTATTGTGCGCTGTGGAACGGTCTGTGTGAAAAGAGCTGACGTCGTGAGTGCAATCTCTGCAGACTCTTGTAGGCATGTTTGTGTTGTATCAGCTGCACCTTTGCATGTGTCTGTACCTCTGTGTGTCCTCTGCACAACAACGTGTCACTTTTGTCCAACCCCATAGCAAAACCCTGTGTGTTTGTGTGTGTTTTGTGTCTTTGGTTGTGTGTGTCCTCTGCAGGGTGTATTAGTGGGTGTGAGTTTCCTTTCCCTGTCTCCTCCCATGGCGCTCCTTCTCTTGCTGATGACTTGTGTGTGGTGTTTGTAGTGGAACTGGACAAGGGACCCTACGGACTTGGCATGGGACTCATAGATGGCCTGGTAAGTTCATTAATGACACAAAAAAACAAACATGGCGTCTTTAATCTGTCTTTGGTTTGACTGCAGAACTTCAGGAAATCTACTTGATTTGGCTTTTAATCTTTTGTATAGTCAGACTGTTAACACTCGTTTGGGGAAAAAATAAACTTTCATAAAATAAATGACTTTTTGATTCCACATCATCCCTTCAGGTTCCAAGCTAATATTAGGTTGGTTTTTTTGACTGAATAATAGAATTTCATCTCAATGGATTGCAAATACAAATGTTATACAGTTGCGAGTAGCAGCAATTTTTAAATTAGCTTATTTTGAATAAAAAACACGAAATACCCTCAACTTCTTTTTATGCATCTTGGACCAGTTGTTCACTATACAGAGGTTCCACAATTAAAAGACTTTGAATCTTAAATTCAGTATGAATGTGATAAATTCACTGTCAGTGTTTAAAGGTCTAAAAGTTGCCATGGCTGCAAAATATATATGTATATTTTTTTTTTTGGTCTCCTGCGTGCTGCACAACCCCTAACACTCTCCCTCTGGCAGCACACTCCTCTGAATGCTCCTGGCATTTACATCCGGACTCTGATCCCTGATGGACCAGCTGCGTCTGACGGCAGACTGAGGATTGGAGACCGCATCTTGGCGGTGAATGGGACCAGCCTGATCGGAGCAGACTACCAGAGGTGAGGAGGATTTTACAGTTGGATGCTGCTCCCTAAAGCAGTGGGCTCGATGAGAGTGATAACATGAGTGAAGTCTTCCTTCAGTGTTAACCGTTCGTTTTTGTGTTGGCTTCTTAAAGCCAATTGATTACTCCGATTGATTTGTTTGAAGACAGAAAGTGATGTCTCGTTATCATTTCCTCATCTCTGCTGAGCTTCATGTAACCAGACTCCATCTTTCTCCTCTCTACTTCCTCCTCCCAGCGCGGTGGACCTGATCCGTCTGGGAGGTGGTCGACTACGATTCTTGGTAGCAAAGTCAGACCCGGAGGTCTCGGAGAAGATCAGTGCCTCCTCCTGCTGACCACCTCAACTGCCAAACCACACCCCAGAACTGTAAAGAGGATGATGTGGCCTACAGATTTTCACGGATTAAAACGTTGGGCCCCTGCAGATGTGTCAACGCTACATGAAATATGAATGTGAACTTTGGCTCAGCACAAAGATGAGCTCTGAAACAGAAGAGATATACTCGGACTCCACCGGTTTCTCTCATGCTCTAACTGGCCTCGTATTGGGCAGGACCTGAAACCAGCTGTGACATCACAGAAGTCAACAGCGAGGAAAGAGTTGCATAAGTAATCAGCTCTTGGGCCTGTATGCAGTCTGATGTTCAAAGCACAGCACATTCTCCTCAGTCAGCTCATGGAGCACAAGTGACTTTTTTTTACTTGTTTTAAATTGATGTTTATTTGTATTTCCAGATGTAAATAGCATGATGAAATTGCTACTCAGCTCCTGAGGGAAACTGAAGATTGTCTTTATAATTTAAAAAAAAATTGTTGACAACTGAGGGAAGCCTCAGTGAATGCTGAATGTTTTGGTGCTTTTAGAGAAGAATGTTTTATAAACTTGTTAGTAACTTTCAAATCACCGTCACGGTCTACTCCTCAAATCGAACTTTCATGATTGAATGTTTACTTTTGTACAAAGTTAAGGATGAACAAGGCGAGACCCGAGATGCCCTTCCATTTAACCTCTTTGTTTGGACTTTACCTTCAGTGATGAAGCTGAATTGTTGAGTCTTTACACTCTGAAGAGATTTTCAGCTGTTCACATGAACAACCAGTTTCAGATGCTAGTCCTGTTGTGCGCTAACAGCAGTGTAAACAGTTGTATATACGTATGTACCTTGTGGAATCTGGTGGGATACTCAGAAACCATTTCATAACTTTTTTTTTTTCTTTCCTTGAAATTGAAGATGTACTAACAGTATTTCTGAAACAGGACAACTGTAGGTATTGGTTTACGTGTTCCTAAATTATGTATTTGTTTTTTAAATTTACACACTCCTCGAACACACAGGGCACTCAAATTACAAACAAAAATAGTAATTCTTTGTTATTATGTTTTGAGTTTTTCTAATGTACACATTTCAATTTGTACAAGTAGGAATATTCTGTGCATACGAATGTGCACAGATCTACTGTGAATGAATCAGTTAACAGCACACGGATCAGCTGCCTGTCAATGTGACTTTTGAGACTTTAATAAATTCAATTCAGTTTATTTGTATAGCGCCAAGTCACAACAGAACTCATCTCAGGACACTTCTACCACTCCATCGTCACAAAGATAATGCTGCGTTCAAGGCTGGTGAAAAGCTGGGACATCTGAGACTTACCAGATTTACAGAGTTACTGGAAAAAGACTAATTTGTAACTTGTCACAGTAGCTCATAGCCTCCATATTAAAACACATGTTGGCATCCTAAAACAACTCCAGAATCAAAGATTGTATAGTGGTTCATGCAGAAGCTATTTTTAAACTTAAACTGCTGTTATCCAACAAAGTTAAGTCAGGTCCTCTGGACATTTTTTTAAGACTGAGTTGTGTCTCCTCGGACTGATTAAGGCTTTTGAATGAAAGATGAAACGTTTCAACAGAAAAATAAATAAGAAACCATCAAGAGGACCTGACTTAACTTTGTTGGATTTTTCTACCTGGATTATTGAGCATGCATCAGGATATTTTAAACTGCTGTTAGTTTTGCATTGCACTATGATTTAGTCCACAGTTTGTTGTTCATAACCAATTCTTTGTAAATGAATCATGATTCATTTGATGCAGATTGAAAATAGAATATATGAAATGTTCTCAGCCAGATTAAGAACCTAATGACAAAGTAAGGTAGAGTAAAATAAATAACAGTTTTCATTTGAACAGCTTAAAAAATTGCATCAGCTAGTTCTATTTCATCCCTACTGACCGCCAGAGGAGGTGCTTAAAGCACTGAATGATCATTCTTGTGCATGCACAGGTCGAGTATCTTATGCCAACATGGTCACGTGTGACACTGGGGAGTCTATATAGTCACGTGACAATAGTAAATCAGTCTCTTTTCGTCTTCTTGCATGCAGGTTGAACAGGTGGTAAGAGGTTTGCTTTTCTTTTTGCTTGACGCTGGTAGCCTCAAGACTACGGTTGGAGCTGCGGGATCGTCTTGCCCTCCAGAGGCTGCGCAAGCTGATATCCTCTTTGATACAACTGTTTGTTCTTCAACTGTTAAGTTGTTTATTTCTGTTGACCCGGCAGTAGCGCATTCGCTAGCCACATCGGGTTTCCTTATTGGCTGGAAGTACGGTGTTTAGCCGGTTCCAACCTACTTGTCTTTTGTTTGTTTGAGAAGCTGCAGCTGTATTCAGCTTGCTTTTGTTTTCGTTTGTGTAGCCGTATTGACTTGTATTTTGTTGGTGTTGTGTAGCAGCCGAGTTCGGTTTTGCCCCACCTTTTTTACATGTATTGCAGCTGTATTCTGGCTTTCGTTTGTTTATCATGTGCAGCTGTATTTGGCTTCCCTTTATTTTGTTACATTGCAGCTGTTTTCGGGCTTGATTTTTGTTTACGTTGTGCAGCCGTTTTTGACTCGTCTTTGTTTCATTACACTACAGCCGCATTCGTGCTTGCATTTTCTTTTTGAGTTGTGCAGCCATGTTCGGCTTGCCACCTTTGGATGTTGCAGCCGTGTTCGGTTTGCGTTTGTACCTGTGGTTCTACGGCAGTCATAGATGGCACTCTCGGGCAGCTTTTATAAGCTTGGCTGCTGGGGAATCCTTGGTGGCGCTTTCTGCTCGATCGGGTTCCCAAGTCCATTTGCTCATCAACTTCAGTGTCAAGAGTGGCAATTCTGGCTTGACCTGACTCTTCTAGTCTTGTGAGCGGTAAGATTCTGGATGTGCAGTGCTGCAGAGCCTGTTTGGCCTCGCTCCAATTGGAGGATGGACATGATCTGTGCCCCTCGTTTGGGGCTGGATCATCTGAGGGAGGCCTTGATGGAAGCAGCCTGCCCCAGCTGTTCCCTTCTGCTCTTGTCCCTGCGAACTGCTCGTTTGGCTGGTTTTGAAGGTGCGAGCCAGCCTGTAAAGAGTGTAGCTCCATAGACCTTGGGGCCTCTGCGAAAGGACCAGGAAGAGCTCCAGGGGCTCAGAAGGATCATCTAGGCAGGTGGCCCATCTCACCTCTGAGTTGGAACAAATGAAGGTGCTGTTCGAGTACCTCAGGGCGGGGTTAGCGCTGGTCCGACTGGGGACCCTGACCTGGGGCATAGCATAGGTTTGGGGACCTCTGCTTTGAAGAGAATGCTATCTCCCTGGCATCATCTGGAACTGATTTTCAAGAGCAGTTTGAGTCTGGCTCGTGTGTGTCGACTGCCAGTTCACACACCACCTCCTGCTCTGTCGGAGGAGGACAGTTCCATAGTGGGTGCTTTGAGAACTGCTCTTCCTCTATTGCAGCTGGATGTTCCACAGAGCCAACCCGCTTCTTCCAGTGCTTTCTTTCACAGTCCTACCACTAGATCATCTTTTATGATTCCCCCTTCTGCCTAATACATAAAGGAGGTACATGTCTGCTGGGCAGATACTAAGGCCTTTTCATGACCGACCTCAGATGGCAGGGCTCTGGCGGCCATGCAGGATGTCCCCAAGTTTGACTTGGGCCATATGCCTTCTGTCAAACCTGCCATAGCGTCTCTCATTGTGGCGCCAGATGAGGCTTTGAGGACTAATGCATGGTGTCCTCGTCCTCAGTGCTGTGTCACAAATTACCTGCTCTGTAGAGCTTATGACTCAGGGTCTCAATTGGGGTGACTTGGTAACTCGTCACATTTGTTACTGGGTCTCTCGGCCTCCTTGGGGGTCTTAGTGATTGATGCACCTACTCAGGGGTTGGTAAATGCTTCCTTTCACGCATTTGATCTTTTTTCAAGGGAGATTGGTTGTGTGTTGTTTACCCTAGTCCAGGCACGTTGCCAGGTTTGGCTGATGCAGTCTCCTCTGACTGAGGTCTGTAGAAGGGTCCTGGTGAGTCTTCCTTTGGTTCCTGGGAAGCTGTTTAGTTCTGCTCCTCTTGCAGCCTTGAAACACTTGGCCCAGGCTATCCATACCAGGCAACAATTAGCCGGCTTCATCGCAGACACTTGCAGCGTCCTGCTTTGGATGCCTCTGCATCCTCCTCACATGCTTATCCGACCCCACCTACACCCTCCATGGGGCAGCCGTGGCCTGTTGCAGGGCCTGCTCATAACCAATGGGTGCTGCCCAGAGGTCGGGCTCCCATTCCCCTGAAATGCAGGCAGTCCACCTGGCATCCATCCTGCCCTCTTAAAGGCAGGGGGCTTGGAAATGACATCTGGGAGCAGGTGGTGGGACACTTAACATCAGTTCAGCTCAGCCGCTGGGTCGCTCTCATGCCCAATGTGAAGGTTGTGTCAACACTATCTCGGGGTTATGTGCTATAGTTCTTCCGCCGCCCTCCCATTCCTGGTCAGGTCAGAATGATGGTAATTTGCGACCAGGTGAAAGCTCAGGCACTGAGCCACGAAATAGACACCTTGCTGGCCAAGGATGCTATAGTGCCTGTCAACCCCCTGCTGGATCCAGGGGGCTTTTACTCAAAGTATTTTTTATTACCAAAAAAAGACATGTGGACTATGCCCAATTTTGGACCTGAAAGGTTTGAATGTGTTTTTAAAGACTATCCCTTTCCACACATTGAACATCAGGGATGTGCTTCATGCATTCTCCCCAGACTGGTTCATCTTGGTTGACATGAAGGACGCATACTTTCATTTACCGACTGTCCCACACCATTGACAGTTTCTCCGCTTTGCATTTCAGGGCAAGCATTTTCAATTCAGAGTTCTTCCGTTGGTCTTTCTCTGTCCCCCCCATGTGTTCACCTAGTGCGTGGCAGCAGCCCTATATCCTCTGCAGGCCATGGGGTTGACGATCCTGCCCTACTTGGATGATTGGCTGATCTGTGCACCTACAAAAGCTCAGGCAGCTGCGGACACACTGAAGGTGCTCAATCACATACAGTAGACCTATTGGGTCTTTCTGTGAACTGGCAGAAGAGCAACCTAGTTCCGTCTCAGGAGGTCACGTTTCTGGGGATCACATGAACTCCCTCACCATGGCAGTTTGCCCATTGCCACAGCATGTCAGTGGAATTATGCAGATGCTGCCCGCCTTCCTGCCCGGCCGTGCAACCCCCTTCATTGCATACCTCCGAGGCCTGTTGGGCAAGCTGACTGCTGCCTCTACGGTGGTACCTCTGGGGCTGTTGTCTTTGCACCCCCTTCAGATGTGGCTCAGCGCCCCCTACAGATGTGGCTCAACAGCCCACGGCTAGATCCAACTCATGTAGTGCATCGACGCAGGAGATTATAGGTGTCCTTTCAATGCCTGCATCATTGGCTCAGTGGCAAGATGCAGTGTTTATAGTGAAGGGAGTCCCACTGGACTCTTCGCCATCTTGGAGGGAGGTTGTTTGTATCGATGCATCCACCACAGGATGGGGGGAATTGTGGCAGTGATAGATTGCCCAGGGGACATGGTCTTCGCTGCAAGAGGTGAAGCATATCTACGCCATGGAGCTGGACACTGTGCGGCTGGCACTGAAACACTTCCTCCTAGGCCTGCATGGGAAGCATGTCCTGGTGTGGTCCGACAAATAAAATACTTCAGTGGTTTTTCATATCTACCATCGGGGGGAACGCAGTCACTGACATTTGCGGCTGACCCAAAAGCTCTTAATTTGGTCAGCCCCCATCTTTGCCAGCCTCAGGGCAGCCCGCATTCCAGGGGTGCAGAATAGGCCGGTCGATTTTCTGTCGCAGGGACGCCCACCACCTGGAGAGTGGAGGCTCCATCTGGCGGTGGTGGGGGCCATTTGGGAGAGGTACGGCAAGGCAGCTACGGACCTGTTTACATCCCAAGAGACTACACATTGCCCGCTTTAGTTCTCTCTGGCAGACAGTGCCAGTCCCCTGGATCAGGACGCACTGGCACACAATTGGCCCAGTGTGCTGCTTTATGCTATTCAGGCCCAACTCTCCTGGGAGTCATTCAGGAGGGGGCATCAAGTCCTCCTAGTGGCTCCCCTCTGGCCCAGGAGAACTTCCACTGCTGCAAAGGCTCTGTTACCACCCTCCAATGTCTCTCCCCCAGAGGAAGGACTTCTTGTCACAGCTGGGGAGTCAGATCCTGCACCCCGATCCCAGTCGCCTCCAGCTCTGGGTTTAGCCGCTACTGGGCCCAGCATTGCTTTCTCAGAATATGATGGGTTGGTTACATACAATGAATAATGCCAGGGCCAATTCCACACAGCTGGTGTATACTCATATGTGGAAGTTAGCAGCTGGTGTCATGCTAGACATGAGGACCCCGTTTCTGTTATTCTTACCTTCCTTCAGGAGCTACTTTCTCAAGGTCGGTCTCCATCCACTCTGAAGGTTTACGTCACTGCCATCTCTTGCTGGCATACAGTTGTAGGTGAGGAGACAATAGCCCATAACAAGGATGCGTCCCGGTTTCTGAGAGGCGCCTGACATTTGCACCCTCCCACACGCCTTGTAGTGCCTGTGTGGGACCTCTCTCTGGTCCTCGCTGCTCTGTGGGCTGCTCCGGTTGAGCCCTTGGCAGAGGTGAGCCTTGAGTGCTTGTCTTAAAAAACACATTTCTGGGGGGAGGATTCTATCGTAGCACTCGTCTTTGTCTCTTTAAGGTGGGCATGCTTTTCTTCTTTTTGTATATGTGATTCCTCAGGACTTTGTTGGCAATCGTCATCCAGTGCTTTAAGCACTACCTCTGGCGGTCAGTAGGGATGAAATGGAATGCTGTAACTATGGTTCTATGAATCCTGGATGACCGCCATAGCGCTCGGTTCCTCGGAATCATTGTGTTTTGCGAGAAGATTAAGGAACTGAGTTACAGTTGTCGCGTGTATAGACTCACCGGTGTCACTGGAAGTCACACATGACCAAGTTGGCATAATACTTGACCTGTGCATGCGCAAGAATGATCACTGTGCTTTAAGCACCGCCTCAGGCAGTCGTCCGAGATCACAGAACCATAAGTTAGTCGTAACTTTCGTTTCTCACACACAGACATTTACTTTTGCAATACAATTCGCATAGTTATGCTTTAAACAACTGCAGAATGACAATCTTCAGTGTAAATAACAGCAACATAATTACAAGTTTAGAAAATAGCATTCACCTGAACCACTGTTAACTTTTTGAGATTGAAGTTTTTAAGATGGCAGCAATATACATCTTGGCCCCACTTGCATCAGCTGTTAACTAAACAACCCTCTCAGAAATGTATTTTGTTCAGTTTGTTAAAAAGTGCCATCTCCACAGGTAAGATACTGTTGATCTTTCCACAGAACCCCACTTCATTTTTTTTTTTTTAACCATCATTTTGTTTAAGTGAAACCTGGTTGTGCCAAGTATTCCAGCCCAGTGGTCGCCTTTGGGAAGCTCAAATCAGAATCTGATTCATTGTAAAACAAAAGATTTAATCAAGCCTCAAGTTGACCAACTCTCACTTCTGGGACCACAAGCAAATTACAGATTTGCCAGTGATGTTTTACTTGTGACTATTAGTCAGAAAATAGCTCACAAGTTTCTTAAAACTTCATGTTCAGATTTCCAAAACAGGAAATGGCCTCACAGACCGTTCACTTCTTGGTCTGAATATTGTGGAAGCAGTAAATATTTGCTATCTTAGTTTGTAATGACAAACGGATCGATCATTTCTCATTAACTTTTTACTCTCTGCTTTCTAATTTGTTAATGTCTTTGAATTTTCAGATTTGTATGATAACTGATCTCATGCATGTCTACTCTGCTCATAATTTATATGAAGAATGACAGTAGATAGTAAAACGATAAAGACTGAGGGATAATTGTTTGGTTTTTTTTTCCTCCTCCCCTCCCCAAGTGATGAAGGTTAAATACAGTGAGACAAAGCAACATTTATGTCAATGAGTTTAATTTTTGCTACACATTTTAAATCAAACAAAAAGGAACATTTAAAAATACATATACCCTCTCTATTTCCATGTTAATCTTGATGTCTGCCATTTTTACACATGGCAAAACATTTTAGTCTTTCCAAAAATAAGAAATACCTTCTAAATAGCTTTGCTGTTTAGCATAGCGTAGCATACAATCATCCTGCATCTTTCTAACGTGTAACGATCGCTGAAATCTTGCTTGTTAAACCTGAAGCCTGTGTGAGGACGTTCAGAAACGCTAAAGGCAAAGTGAGAACGAGACAAAGAGCGGGGGAGAAAGTGCTATAGGAAGTCTAATTAAAGCGTCTGTGACACAACTTGCCGCCGGCTTGACGTCTCAGCGGAGACTGCAGAGGGAGACGACTCATCGAAAAAACAGTTGAGAGGAGAGCAGAAAAGTAAAAGCAGAGGATGCGTGAAAAGAACCACACGCAATGAATGGAGCAGTTGAAGTTTGTGGTCACGAGTTGGTCCCGCTCTTCCCTTAAAACTGAAACTGACTGATGCAGCGTACTGCCACCTCTGTAGTGTTGCTGATCTTGTACTGTTAAAGCGCTAGGTTACTCTAAAACTGTACGGCCGTCCAAATGTTAAAATTAAATTGACAAAAAAAGGGAGTGAGAAATATTTAAGGCTTTGAGGATTATTACAATAATGCTTCTCCGTGCTAAGACAAAACTAACTCGTACTGGCTGCTTCACTTCTTCTGATACTTCTAAAACAAATGAAAAGAAAAATGTTTGTCTACATTAGGTTAGCTCCACTTCAGTCAACTCCACATAGCTGCCTCTTTTTGCCTTTATCTGCATAAACATCCTTTCTTTTTTTGCTCAGATCAACCTGAATGAGGAGCTTCACACTAATATGTGAGCTGAAGTGAAAACTGTCATTCCTGGATTTCCTAAAATATGTCAAACGTGTTAAGATTTTTCTCTTTTTTTTCAGGCTTTACAGAAAAGGCAAGAGGTGTCTTATGTTCTGGTACAGGCCTTAATATTGTCTGTCTGAGACATACTGTATGATTTCATCCGTCTCACTTCATTATCCAAGTTTTTAAAGAGTACAATCATGTTCTTAATCTCCCAGGAGTCATCAGCCTGGTCCGAGTATATACTGCCACCTCCTCTTTAACCTTCTGTCCACAGCTGTTCATCACATCTTCCACAAGCCTCTCATATCAGAGTTCACATTTCTTTTAAGAGGAGCGGTGAAGGTGAGGTCTTTGGCTTGAGAGTTATAGCATTAATGTATTTCTTCCATCAACATGAGGAAAGCTGTAGCTGGGACTCTGATATACTTAAATATCTTCACCGAGACTGAGGCCAGTTTACCTGCCTTTTTAAATTGATAGTTTTAAACATTAGTTTTGACCAAAACAGATGTTCTGTGAGGATTTATTTCCCTTCTGACAGACTTGCCTGTACATTAGGTAATGTCAGCGAGTCATATCAAACGTGTAAAAGTTGAAGCATTGAGAAGACAGAGAGGCTCTCCACTGGACGCCTGCTGAGAAGCCCTGGATTTTATTGCCTTGGGTCATGGGTTTGTGATGTCATTGCAACAATGACAGGCTGCTGGGCAGGTGTGACTTGATGCTGAGCAGACTCGGTCCCTCCCTCGTCCTCCATCTTTGGCCGCTTGGCCTGAGGCTCGCCTCGTTGTCCGGATGAAGCGTCTGCGCTGGGCGGCCTGTTCACAAGAACTGGAGGGGAGCTGGAGGCCTGTGCAGCCAAGATCTGCAGAGGACTGTTCAGGCCTTGGAAGAGAGCAAGAAAATTAAAAGTTAGCCACATTAACAAGATAATTTAAAATTCTCTGCAACAAATGAAGTATTACAATAAAATATGGTGGACAAGGTCCAGCACTGGTGGTTTTTGTCAAGGGCATTTAGATAAAGGTTATGCATGTTTATTAGTAACTAATATGTGTGAGTTAAGTTGTTTTGTCTGAACAGAGAGGAGCCTGCAGGTGCACGGAGCCTGCACACTCGATAACTCGTAGGCCTTCTCCTCCTCATCTAGAAAGCAGAGGCTGTCTTGACTTTGTCTCTGTCTGATAAGCATTAGAAAAAGGCACTTTTTTTTATACTGTCCATGGGCAGACCTCGTGACCGGAGCTTCAATGTACCATCGGTTTAAGTCTGTTTTGACTCTGCCCCCTTGCAAATAGTAAACTGGGTTGACAAGTCTTCTCGTGTCCTCAGAGTGGCTTATTTGAGTAAAGAGATGATGAAAGGATATTTAATTTATCTGACATGTTTGGTCCTTCGAGCCGGATACGGCCTCTGCTTTCCAGTTTACAGATGAGGAGGCTTTCGCTTTATCAAGTGCGCAGGCTTCGTGCACATGCAGGCTTCTCTCTGTTCAGACAAAACTAACTCGCACATATTAGTTACTAATAAACATCCATAACCTTTATCTAAATCCCCCTGACAGTTTTAGGACAAAAAGACTGACTGTAAGCATCACAAGTAAACTAATCAATCAGAGCCAGTCTATGAATGGTTTGTCCAACTTAGACCTTCTGGACAACACAGATCGTCCAGAACATTTGAAAACCGTCACATTAAAAATCATCTCTGTTAAGAGAGAACATAAATAATTTAAACGCAAAACACATCTCACCAGAAGCATTGGTGAAGCTGGTTGCCAGGGAAACGGCAGCAGTGGCATGTTTGCCATTCTGGGTAACGGGTCGAACAGGAAGCTGGTGTAGACCTGGGGTGATGTGACGTCCCTCCCCAGCCTGCACTGCACTGTCCAAAGTCTGGATCACCAGCTCTCTGTTCAGCTGGGCGTCTGAGGAGAAAACGTGCAACACAGTCACACCAAATATGTTAAACAGCGAAAAGTCTCGTGTCAGAAAACCTGGTTGAGGCAGCAGCGGTTATTTAATGAGTGATGTTCACCTAAACCTGTAAAACGGTACAGAGTTCTTAAACTTACTACATCTTAACATGAAGGAACTCATGAAAACCTATACAAATTCTGTTAAAATAGAATCAGAATGGACAAAAAACTAAAACTTAAATTATTTTTATCATTAGTCAGCAGAACATCTGTCTGGATCAAAAAAAAAATTTGCATTTAGAATTACGGTTAGTAATGCTTACAGCTCAAAACTTTTATCCATTAGTCAATATTCAACAGATTTGGCCTCTCATGCATTTGCTTTTATACATTTAACCTTTTTCTGATATTAGCTGTTAATTTATTTATTTATTTTTAGAACATAAAATGTAAAAAAACACTTCAGGATTTGAAAAATGTAGTTTTCAGTTGATCCAGCAGATGGCGCTCACAACGTCACTGCAGAGGAGAAAATGTTGAGTCTGAACATGATGCACATGTTCTAGTTTAGATAAGATAAAACTTTATCGATTCTAACTTTGGACAGCATGAGTGTTTAGTGGTTAGCACTGTAGCCTCACAAAAAGAAGGTCCCGAGTTCAACCCCGGGTTGTTTTCATGTTTGAGTGGGTGTTCTGCAGGTACTCCAGTTTCCCCACACAGACCAAAAACATGCATGTGTGTAAGACCCCAAGTAAGGCCCCAGGTCTTAACGGAAAGAGAGATCTGTGATCTCAGTGGGACATGCTCTGTTACATAAAGGATTAAAAAAATAATAATATTTGCACCTAACTTTCTATTTAATTGTCCAACTTGCTCATTTTGAGGCCGAGACGGGGTAGAGGTAGGGCAGCCAACTTGGGACCAGAAAGTTGCGGTTCGACTCCCCACCATTCCCACATGCTGTGGGGTCCCTGAGCAAGACACCTATGTAATCCCTGGGTGCTTACATAGCTGCCCACTGCTCCACCTGGGTGTGTCTCACATGTGATGGGTTAAATGCAGAGAACTCGTTTTGCCATTGTATTGAAACAACGATAACACATTGTGCTTTACTTTAATCTTGGCCAGTTGTCATTTTTTTAAACTAATAGAAATCTCTATGTTTCCACTGCATATTCAACAGTGTGTAGTCACTTCACACTGAAAACTGACCCAGTTAATCCATGTCCAACACAACATCTTGAAGAAGCACTGGTGACGTTCATCTTTCAACTTTACAGTCAACAGAATGCAATTTTGTACTTAACCACATTAACAAAACTCCCATACCCCAGTACTCTTTTCATCTATTATGTTAAATAAATGTTTGGAAGAGCAAAGATGAGCGGGCAGTAAGGTGTGGGAGAACTGTAAAGACTAAGGGCCAGTATAAGACACAAAGATGAGCCATTCCATAAACAGAAGGTTTGTAAGCTCAATCATCCAGGTAGATAATAACAAAAAAGGTACAATTGTGTCATCTGGACCAGTTTCTTAAAGTGAGAAACGTTTCGTCTTCCATCCAGAGGACTTCCTCAGTCTACAGCCTGCCAACCAGATCTGTCCCTTGGCAAGCCTTCACAGCCGTGTTTCAAGCCAACCTCCTGTTGGAATCTCAGAAGTAGGATTTTAACACATGCAAACAAACCCATCCGTCCAAAAACAAACAATCATCATGAACTTGATGAACATCATCAAATGTTTTAGACCAGATGACCAACTTGCTACTCACAGAAACAGCGTGAGGACACCAAGGCAAACTCAGCCCCACAAGCAGCACACTCACATAGTGGGCCTACCACTTTGGCTATGGCTGCCTCAGAGGAGTTGATGGGGGAGAGGGCGGGCTCCAGAAACCATCTTATCACCAGCAAACCGATTGGTCCACTATGCAAGTGTGCTGCTTGTGGGACTGAGCTTGTTCTGGCTTCTCGGACTGACGAAGTCCTTTGGATGAAGGACGAAACGTTAAAAAAAAAAAAAAAGAAACTGTCCAGAGGACCTGACTTTGTTGGATGATGACTGATTGTTTTGGACAGGTGGGCTCTGTCTGCACGTATTAAAAGCTGCTTCTGAGATTCCAACAGGAGGTTGGCTTGAAACAGCAGAAGGGACAGATCTGGTTGGCAGGCCGTAGACTGAGGAAGTCCTCTGGATGGAAGACGAAACGTTTCTCACTTAAAGAAACTAGTCCAGATAACATGACTTAACCTTTTTTTTGGTCATTCCATAAACAGCACAAATGCAGATTACACACAAAAACAAAGCTTTTTTTGGATCTGATTTATACGTTTACTAGTGAAGTTGAGACATGGCTCAATGGAGCCCAACAGAAATAACAGTTTAGCAGTACCATATCTGTTTACATATGGCTGCATAAAAATTAAGTAGATCCCCAGAAATGTACCTCTGATGTCGTTATTGCCCTCTACTCCTCCAACGGTAGGTGTGCTGTACCCATTTGGAGGGTTGGAAGATGAAGGGGCGTGGGTCACCACCCTCACCATGGTGACCGAGGGCTGAGGGGCGTTTTGAAGCACATGGATTGGCTGCACTTGACCGCCGCCACCTGGAACTAAAGCGAAGGTTTTCCCAGGGCCTGAGTTGAAGACTGTCGGATGAGGAGGAGCGGCCATGATGACGGGCTGAGCGCTGACTGGAGAACCTGCACACACGGACAGTTTCACCTGCTCGACGCTGTAATGCACAATAATCTTTTCAAGCTGTGTCTTTTAAACATATGCTGTGTAGGTGGTGGTGCTCACGCTTACCTGGGGCGCTTTGGGAATACCTATACTCCGGCACAGACGCCAGTTTGTTCACCAGCTGTTCGTGGTGGTCCTGAGGGATAGGAGAGCCCTCTCTGCTGAGACACTCGGGAGTCTGCAGACCGCTGGATAGAGGAGACAGAAGTCCCTGGTGGGTCGGGGACGCAGGGGCACTCCTGTATAACAGCAAAGGCGAAAAAGCACAACCAAATAAACTTCTCAACACGTCGACTTCCTCATATTGCAGGCACCTTTAGCTCAATCACACGACCGCAAAACAACCAGACTTACTTTGTTCTGTCCGATCAATTGACAGCCGAGAGAGCAGAGAAAACGGACAAGGTGTTAACCAAATCACTGTGTGTGAGACGGCAACAAGCAAACAACTTCAAGGTGTACCTTGAAGACAGAGGTCCAAACGGTGTCCTGAAGCACGCCACCCCTCGTTGCCGTCGTTTCCTAAAGGCTTGCTCGACCAGCTTGCTTTCAGAAGCAGAATCGATGCGCCAGAAACTTCCTTTTCCAGGCTCATCCTGAGAACGGGCCACCTTCAGAAAGTAGCGGTTCAGAGACAGATTGTGCCTGATCGAGTTCTGCAGGGAGAAAAAGAAATCCCAACATTTTTTGAGCCGATGCATCAGTTTGAGGTCAAAGTCACTTTAACTCAACTTGTACACTTAGTGGTGCAGGAAAAACTGATTCATTAAAGAATCTACTGTCCTAGTTCTGGCGATTCTGAATCCATGCTAAAGGCCCATAAATCAATTTTAAAATGCGTCTTTATTTTTTTTTCCCGCTCCTACTCCCGAGCGTACTGCGTATCGCATTACATGTCCATCCGTCACCGTACAATTTGGCCTTGTAGGCCACCGTACAACAAGCTAGTTAGCCAGCTCCCTTTATCTGAATGGAGTCTGCTAGCATGGAGCGGAGGACAGCATGATTCAACCCGCTGCTTCGTCGTTAAGTCATTTCAGATCCTACAACGTTCCGGGGAAGACAGAGCTGAACAAGAGCACGGTTGTTTGCAAGAACTAAAATAAAAAAGTGGTACAGCATTTTGGAAATACGACAAATGCGTGGAAGATGAAAGTGAAACAGCAGAGCAGCTGCAACAAAAACTTCCAGCTAACTTCCCAAAGGCTGCAAACATTTCCCTCTCCATCTCCGGCTGCATCACAAAGATTTATGAGCAGACAGCTCAGTGGAAGGTGAGGGGTTCAGGTTTATTTTTAATATGCTGGACCCAACGAACGTTATTCTTTACACATAGATTTTTTTGAGTGATAAAGCTGCGTCACAACTCCACCAAGAAACAAAGAATAAGATGGGAGAAGCTCTGATGCAGCTGCAGCTCAAAGGAAACTGTGTTCTTTTCATATTATACTAAAAATTAAATAGACAAGTTGTACAAGAAACTCTTTTTAACAGGTTGAAGAGGACGGATGAGACGCATCGACTGGAGCCAGTTCTAAACGATAAATGTAGATGGTTTATAAATTACAGTTCAGAAGAGGTTTTGTGCAAACGTGCACAGGTTTTGAAATTTTGTTAAAGATTTATCAAATATGAATCAATATAAATAATAACATCATCACTGTATGTTCCCATATAATGGTGAAATTACTCTCTGCATTCAACCCATCCACCACCAGGTGGTGCAGTGGGGCGCATTTTGGGGATGAGGTGTGCTGCCCAGAGACACCACACCATATGCAGTGACCGGGGATCGAACCTGGGACTTTCGGGTCCCAAGCCGGCTGCCCTGCCTCTACACCATATGGTTAAGACTGTGAAGTCTGTTTATTTCATATTAGGTTAAGTTTTGAAAATATAACAAATGTTAGAGCAATATGGTTAAAAATAACTGGTGTGTATTTTATGTTGAGTTAAAGGTTAATGTACTATGTATGGTAGGCTGAAGTCTGTTTACTTTTGTATTTATATATTTTGAATTATTTGTGTGTGATGGACTGGAGACATGTCCAGGAGTCCCCCGCCTCTCACTCAGTGATGGTTGGACATGGGCACCAGTGACACCCGTGACCTGAAAAGGAAGAAGTGGGTAAAGATGATGGATGGACGGCCTAGTTATTTGTTCCTAGATTTTTTTATTTTATTTTAGAAAAAAAAAACAGGCAGCTAAGCTAACCTTCAGTATTAATAGAGAATTTTATGCACTCCTATATTTGTTCCTGATTTTAGTATAAATATAAAATGATGCAAAAAGATTTGATACAGTAAGGAACCTAAAATTATCGGGGTTTTTTTTTTTTAAGTTCTATTTGTTTACATTGTTGTTTAATATTTTCTTCTTGTCAATTGCAGAATTTAAACAAAATTTATGACCATTTCAATAGAAAACTCGCTTCTGAATCAAAAATCGATTTTGAATTGGAATCGTGACACCAAAAATGGGAACTGAATCGCCAGACACAGAGATCTGCACCCGTCATGCACACCTCCTCTAGACAGAGAGAGAACTGAAGTCCCTTCAGACAGGAGGCCTGTACCTGCCAGCCCTTGTCTGCAGTGCGATAGTAGGGGTAGTGTTTGGTGATGTGGGCATAAATCCCACTGAGAGTCAGCTGTTTGTCCGGAGCTGAAGAGATCGCCTGGACTATCAGCTGTGCATAAGAATAAGGTGGTTTGGATTCATCCTGGGGAAAGACAAAAGAAGGACAATCATAAATAAACGCACGTCCTCAACCATCAAACGGCACAAGCAGCTCATTTGGATGAATTATTTCTTGAGAATGTTCAGACAGAGACAGCACTTTACCTTTGGGCTGTCCCCCCCCACTGGCTCCACACGCTGCTCACTTCCTCCACCTCTCTGCTCAGCGAGATTTCGTCTTTGCTCAGAAACAGCCTTGGCAGCGTATTCAGCTGCTAACTGGAGGTCAGAGGTCACGTTGCGTCCATAGCGGTACCCAGATAACCCTGCCCCACGTGGACTGGCTGGACAGGAGTTAGGAACACTGCAGAAGAGGGGGGGCGGATCTTAATTTGTGATTTAAGATCACTTATTCAAAGTGATAATGCTACGCATTATGAGCCATTAGAAGTGTGTAGGCCTGTGGCGATAAACAATAAATCAATTAATCGCATGATAAAAGAAAATTATCTACCTCATTTTCATTCATCGGATTTATGGTTTCTTCGTGTCTCTCTCTTTCTACTGAAGACACTGGACGACAAAAGGCTCTGTGCTCTTCACTGACTCCTCCCTTTCTCTTTAAAAATCTGTTTTAACGATCTAAAATGGCATTTTTGGATCGTTAAAAGCAGCTACGCTGAGAAGCTAAGCTACGAGCTAAGCTAACAGGCCGACCTCGGGGAAAAAACCTCCGTCTTGTCGAAGCTCCAAAGTTCACGGTTGAAACCTGTGCCTTCATGTAAAACTTGTTTTTCTCTGCAAAAAGAACTGAACTTGTTTACTGATTAAAAAAAAAAAATTAAAATCTTTGTGTGACAAATGCTATGCTAAAGAGCTCAAACCACATCAAGCGTCCGCCATTTTGAGAACCTAAAAACAGGAAGGAGACAGCTCATGTCACGTCAAAGGACCTCCCTCACATTTTTCTTAAACAGACACGCTGCTCACTCCCTCACTATCCATCCTTCAGTTCATTGTCTTATACTGCCATCTGGTGGTTGAAAAGACGTACTACATGCAAAACAAATTAACCAACATTTCTTTTTAATCTTGACAATAATTACTAATTATTGTAAAATTTCAAACAATATTATCGTTTATCGCAATCATTTCTGAGACAATTAATCGCCTAGCAAAATTTGTTATCGTGACATGCCTCGAAGTGTGTGTCGGGGCAATAACCGCCATAAAATCCCTTCACTTAAATTTTCTTATTCTAGTTATTTTTGATTATTCGGGATGCTTTGAGGGCTGTAAACTTTGGGTAGAAGGTGTGTGAACGTCAACCAACGTCAGAACAAGGTTGCGAGAAGTTCAAAAATAAAGATCTGTTCAAACTGCAGTATCCTCCATCTGTGCAGGTTCATCTGATACATGTTTTACAAGTGTATTCAAATGAAAGCCAAGTGGAGAAAAACAAGTTATCAACAAAGTTTTCATTTTATTATTTACTCACTGATTCTGCAGCCGATAGGTTTCCCCTCAGTCTCATTTCAACACTGCAGCTTATGCAGAGTTTAAACATGAAGAGCAAAATAAGGTTTGCAAAATGTTAATAATAAAAGTAATCCGTCTTTATTGCTGCCCTAAATACTGAACTATCAGCTATGGACATTATTGCAGTAATAAACAGAATACAGTAAATAAAGTAGTTTGGTTTTCATTGCACGACAGGAACAATGTTCCTTTTTTTTTTTCCATTTCATGGAAATCACAAATCATAAATGACATCATCTCATGCTGGGTAAATGACAACGTTCTGTTTATATACTCTGTTTTCAGCATGTGTTACTAATCTGGTCCACAAGGTCAAAATCCACGAAAATTCTGTCAGTTTGTCACACTAAACACGGAATCTAAAAAACTACAAAACCCATTTTAGAATCCATAAAAACATATTCCATAAACATGCCGCCCGGCACGTGACATAAACTCAATACTAAAAGTTTGTAAACAAGAAGGTAAAATGTTCTGTTACTGATCAAAGTGATTAACTACGAGGATTATACAGCATTATGAAGGCCTAAGGACAAGGGTTCATTCAAAAATCTAGTCTCATGCGGTCACTAAGAAACATTTAAAAACACTGCACCGAGGCCGCTCACGATAAACTTTACCGGACAATTGTCTCAGAAATTATTGCGATATATAGTTTCAAATTTGACAATAATTGGTAATTATTGTCAAATTTAAGAAGAAATGTTGATTTGTTTTGAGTGTAGTACCTTTTTTCAACCACCAGATGGCAGTATAAGGCTGTATAAACTGAAGGATGGATAGTGAGGGAGTGAGCAGCGTCTCTGTAAGAAAAATGTGAGGGAGGCCCCTTGACGTGACACAAAGTCCAGTTCAGTTTATTTATACAGCACCAAGTCGCAGACTCTCATCTTGAGCAAGCACGAAGGCGACAGTGGAGAGGAAAAACTCCCTCATGAGGAACCTCATGCAGAAAAAAAAAAAGCAGAAAGTAAACTAACATACTTTAAGTCTTTTCTGACAGTTGCTAAAGCAGCGTAAAGCAGATCTGCATGACTGAAATACAAAGAGATAACGTACGCAACAATGAATAGAAGCATGTTAATTATTAACTATATTTTATCAGCTGTTGTTGAGCGAGAGCACGAGGAAACCTCAGTAACTTATTACACAGCGCACACCTGCTTCTGTTAGCAAAGTAAACAGAGGTTCCTGGGAGAGTCAGTGAGCTCTGATTTGTCTCCGACCACAGACACAGAGCGAGTGAGACAGGCGGAAGGACAGAAAGAGAATGTATCGAACTTTCTAGTCTATGGTTTTTCTTTTTCAGAGTCCAGTAGGACTGGAGCAAAAAAAAGAAAAACAGCATAAAAGGGTTTGGACAGAAACTGTAAGAGGGAATAAGAGTTAATGCTACTTTTCCATGACAACAACCTTTCAACCCGTCCAGGATGTGCTTAGGAAGAAAAATGTTGTTTTCTGCAGTTCGAGCTGCCAGACAGGAAAAGTGACTCTTAGCACCCGTTAAGAAAACAACGTTGGGCGTTAAAAAAGGGTGTTGTTCTCGTCTTGAACGTTTTTGAATTTAAAAAAAAAGGGAGCACAAAGTAACACACAAAAAACTCTTCGGTTTTGTGCGTTGCTTGTTTGCACAGGTGAGGACTGAGGCGCGTTTATCAGCTCGAGCGCAAGATCAGAGTGAAAACGCTGCGTGCGACAACAATCGAGCTCGTTTTTCTTCATGTCTGTTAAAAAGGCCGCGTGTAAGAAAACAGGCTCTGCGGGCTGAGTGGAAGAGCGGCGGGGCAGGGGCTGCGAAAAGGAAACCACGAATGGACGAACAAAAACAACAACAAAAAAAACCACGCTCACAGGCAAAACAATCTGCCCTGTAGCCAATCACACGCTCTGAAGCTGCAGCCACCCCATATAAGGCATGCACACACATGCTAACATTAGTGAGGATGGTGATGACAGGACATGACCACCAGAGGGCGCAAACAGGAACTCCTAACAGTCGGCTGCAAACATTTATAGACCAGAGGGTTTCAGACATGTGCTGTGACAACTCACTACACTGCAGTTTATCATCTCAGCCTGCAGCTGATACATGCTGCATATCAGAGCTACCCCCACGTCAACAAGTCTTCCAACTAACCTGTTCAAAAAATATGCAAACTTATAACTTGAGCCAGGGCATATAATCAAACTCAGCGTTGTGGCTTTACCTGATTGTACCGGTGGGTGAAGGCAGCGGAGAGCCAAACGCCCTGATGTGCTCCTCGTGCTGCTGCACTGTGGGAATGCAGATTTTAAGAGGGGAAATGTGGGGCAGAAGTGGGCGAGGAGGAGGAGACGGCTGCTCTTTCTCTCTGCGCTCCTCAGCATCCAGGAGGGACATGAACTGGATCTTGATTACGGTGCTGGGAAAGCGAAACACACACCTAGAATGGAGGACAGAGAAGAGAGGAGATGGTGGGAAGTCACAGGACAGACGAGGGGAAACAAGCAGGGAATCATTTGTTTATTCTCTCAACAAAACACAACAACATGACAAAAGAACGTCAGACTGCGCTCACATGGTTTGAGACAAGATTGTTATTGTCAGACACACAAACAACCTCATGGACGTTTCTATCATAACACTCAGAAAATTTGTTTTAAATGTAGAGTGTAAAAAAACGGAGCAAAGTCTCTTTCCTGAAGAAGATAGTGTGATAGAAAGGATTGAATGGGATTTGTTTTGTAACTAAAGCCTTTAAACAAATGATTACACATTTAGCTAATCATGCAATGCATAAGATAGGAGGGCAATAATACAGTGCCTTGCGAAAGTATTCAGCCCCTTGAACTTTTCAACCTTTTGCCACATTTCAGGCTTCAAACATAAAGATATAAAATTAAAAAAATTTTTGTGAAGAATCAACAACAAGTGGGACACAATCGTGAAGTGGAATGAAATTTATTGGACGTGTCAAACTTTTTTAACAAAAACTGAAAAGTGGGGCGTGCAATATTATTCGCCCCCTTGCGTTAATACTTTGTAGCGCCACCTTTTGCTGCAGTTCCAGCTCAAGTCTCTTGGGTTATGTCTCTATCAGTTTTGCACATAGAGACTGAAATTCTTGCCCATTCTTCAAAACAGCTCGAGCTCAGTGAGGTTGGATGGAGAGCGTTTGTGAACAGCAGTCTTCAGCTCTTTCCACAGATTCTCGATTGGATTCAGGTCTGGACTTTGACTTGGCCATTCCAACACCTGGATACATTTATTTGTGAACCATTCCATTGTAGATTTGGCTTTATGTTTTGGATCATTGTCTTGTTGGAAGATAAACCTCCATCCCAGTCTCAGGTCTCTTGCAGACTCAAACAGGTTTTCTTCCAGAATGGTCCTGTATTTGGCCCCATCCATCTTCCCATCAATCCTGACCATCTTCCCTGCCCCTGCTGATGAAAAGCAGGCCCAAACCATGATGCTGCCACCACCATGTTTGACAGTGGGGATGGTGTGTTCAGTGTGATGGGCTGTGTTGCTTTTACACCAAACATATCGTTTTGAATTATGGCCAAACAGTTGGATTTTGGTTTCATGTGACCAGAACACCTTCTTACACGTTTGTTGTCTCCCAGGTGCTTGTGACAAACTTTAAACAAAACTTTTTATGGATATCTTTGAGAAATGGCTTTCTTCTTGCCACTTTTCCATAAAGGCCAGATTTGTGCAACGTATGACTGATTGTTGTCCTATGGACAGACTCTCCCACCTCAGCTGTAGATCTCTGCAGTTCATCCAGAGTGATCATGGGCCTCTTGGCTGCATCTCTGATCAGTCTTCTCCTTGTTCCAGATGAAAGTTTAGAGGGACGGCCGGGTCTTGGTAGATTTGCAGTGGTCTGATACTCCTTCCATTTCAATATGATTGCTTGCACAGTGCTCCTTGGGATGTTTAAAGCTTGGGAAATTTTTTTGTATCCAAATCCGGCTTTAAACTTCTCCAATTCAGTATCTCGGACCTGCCTTGTGTGTTCCTTGGTCTTCATGATGCTCTCTGCGCTTTGAACAGAACCCTGAGACTATCACAGAGCAGGTGCATTTATACAGAGACTTTATTACACACAGGTGGATTCTATTTATCATCATCAGTCATTTGGGACAACATTGGATCATTCATAGATCCTCACTGAACTTGTGGAGTGAGTTTGCTGCACTGAAAGTAAAGGGGCCGAATAATAGTGCACGCCCCACTTTTCAGTTTTTTATTTGTTAAAAAAGTTTGACACATCCAATAAATTTCATTCCACTTCACGATTGTGTCCCACTTGTTGATGATTCTTCACAAAAAATAAAAAATTTTATATCTTTATGTTTGAAGCCTGAAATGTGGCAAAAGGTTGAAAAGTTCAAAGGGGCCGAATACTTTCGCAAGGCACTGTATTTGGTTCCAAGTGTGTGTGTTTGTCTGGCTGGTGGCAAAATATCTCATAAATCACTGGTCAGATTTGATTGAAACGCATCATTTGAAGTACCATTTTTTTCAGACTATACAGCGAACTCAAAATCCTTTAATTTTCTCAAAAATTGACAGTGAGCCTCATGTATTAATTCTGGTTGTGCTTACTGACCTCAAACTGATTTTATGTGGTACAACTGAACAATGTTGAGTTATTGTGAATGAGTTGAATAAAGTTTGACTTATCGGACTGTTTTGTTTCACTTAATGCGCCTTATAGTCTGAAAAATACCGTACAGTAGTCCCTCGCTACTTTGCGGATCGTTACTCGCTGACTCGCTCTAGTGCGGTTTTTCAAAATAAGATTGGACATGACACACAAATGGCTGATAGATGGATGAGCCGCACGATCGGCATGGAAATTTTATTTAAAATGAATTATTTTAAATTACTTAGCAGCACCTGCTGCACCTTTGTGCAGCCCACACTGCAGGAGAAACTTCCTGCTGCAGCTCCTCCTTCCTCCTCTGTTGCAGCAGAGAAGTGGGCGTGGCCGAAAGCTGTGGCTGAGTTCATGACATGCTGTGCTCTTTTAGAGCGTTTAGAAACATTGTTTAGAATATTGCAAGTGTGGGAGGTTTAAAATGACTTTATTATATATATATATATATATATATATAAAGTGGTGTAATGGTACACGTGGGTGTATTGAACTGTTTCGGTATGGCATGTTCGGTTCGGTCCACATGCGTACAGTTTCAGTTATTTTTTCACTCTTTAAATTTTATTAACGAGAGATTATGCGCCGCCGAACTAAAGTTCCTACGCGTGTTTCAGCACGGCGCTATTATCTTGCAGCACGCGTAGCATTAGCAGCCTAGCAGGCAACGAACAAGCCATCTTGTTGCGGGTTTGGGAACGTTATGGCTTTCTTGTTAAAAGACAAGTGAACAAATCCAAAGCTGTGCGTCGACGTCGTTTCACAAAGATTGGATCTGCAACACGTCTAACTTGTTAACGCACATGAAACGACATCATTCGAATGTGAACGTAGTTTGGTGCAAAGACCGATAACCGCAGCGTTTAAACAAACTTTATCAGGTAATTCAGATTGGTCCAAAGCAATAACACAAGCTGTAGAAGTTTTTAAATCTCTGGATCTACGTCTGAATGTTGTTGATGTGCTGGTTATAAGTTTATGATTAAAGTTCTTGAGCCCCGCTGCCTACGACATCCCATCACGTCAACACTTGAGCCAAAAAGTTGCAGCAGCACTTTATGAAAAAGCTAAAACCAATATTGTCAACAAGCCCTGGAGCCCAGATTTAAAGCCCTGCCACATAAATGATGAGCGCAAGAGAATATTCAACCACCGCATATGATGACCGTGCAAGAAGAGGTACTGTTATTGTATTATTGTGATCTAATTAGCTTTTTAAATTTAAAATCATCATCGTATTGACTCGATTTTTTTTATCTCTGTGTTGTTTGCAGTCTGAGGATGATAGCAGCTGAGTCTCCTTCATCCACCAGATCACCTCCAGCTAAGAAGTCTGTAATGACTGAGCTTGTTTACTTGGCATATTTTCAAAATAAACATTTTGTAAGTCTTTATTTTGGCTTTTTTTCGTACAGAAAATTAACCGAACCGAGCCCTCCTTGAAACTGAACCGAGCCGAAATGTGATTTTAGCGTATACACACATCATGGGGCTCTTCAGGGTACGGATCCCCCACAATAAACAAGGAACTACTGTACAGCTGTCAACGCTAAACTGGCTTCACTGCAGTGAATTATACAGATACTGAGCTAAGATTTGTTGTGGTAGTTGCTGACAGTCATCTAAAACACAAGACGACACAAGATGTTAGAATGTCACATGACATTATGCACAATGTTATTTTCAACATTTGTCTAGAACTCATTTCTTAACAAAAGATGATATGGTGATATGCATTCCTTCAAGAAAAGTTGGGTCTTTAAATTGTGTTTTAAGAAAGATCAAGGTTAACAAATCTGTAAATAATTAACAATAAATCAAGAAGCAAAACATATTTATGATCCTACGCAGGTTTGTTTACACGCGAAACAAAGACGAAGCACCTTGCGTGGACAAGAAATACCTACCCAGTGTCAATTTTACACTAAACTTGTTGGCCTGCACTTTTGTTTGCATACTATATTTAAAATGTGCCAAACAAATTATTTAATGCTAAAACAAAGTACTTAGAATTTATTCACACTATTTTCATGTTTATTGATTTTATTTTTTAACAACAGAAGCCTTATGGTGAATGGAAGCAGTTATTTTTCTTATCATTTACAAGGAGTGAGTTTGTGCCGAGTGAAGAATGTGTGCGCACATCCATTCAACAGGATCTTTACAAGGATTACAAATTAATCTGAGTGTTAATCTGCGACAGTCTCAAACCTCCCTAAATCTATTCAATCACAAAAGGTGTTGTTCTGAGCTAAAAAAATAAATAAAAATAAAGAATTTTCAAACTATTTTTTCCTCTGGAAATCCAGCAGCTATCAATTAATCATTCCAAGGAAGAGGTAGGATCCGCGGACACTGCTGAGCGGAGAAAGACGAAACCGAGTAAACAATAAACATTAGCTTCTGTCTTTTGTCAGCCGAAGAAAGGCCACTGTCTTGGTCCAAACAACCGTGGGGACAATTTGACTAGTACTGGATAAAATAAACAAGACATTCTGGAGCACATGGTTTAGCGGTCCAACTATTCCGTTTGCCAATAGTGTCACCACTTGAAACACCCAATTTTAATTTATTATAACTTGTGCTACTGCTGTAGATTAATTTATGGCCCCAGAAAGTAAGAAAAATGTTATTTAAAGTAAATAAGAAATTATCCTCTGGGAGGTCAAAGGTTATAACTTAGAGGAATATTGATTGTCAGCTATATTATATGTAACTACAGCAAAAATGCATCATTCTGTAGAAAAAAAAATCACTAATTGTTAATTTCTTAAGTGTTTTTGTAGGCAAAAGTCATTCACATGTGATAATTATGATAAATAAACAGACTGATAAACCAAAAGTACAGTCAACAATATGTATGTATAAGTGACCTTAAAAATAACTAACTTAAAATGTACTCCAATTGATAAATTGCAAGCAATGTAAAAGTCAACAAATACATTGTTTTTACTACACTTCTACAATCTTGCTACCCGATATGTATTATGCAAAGATGAATAAAAAGAAGAAAGTTGTGTCATTTAAAAATTATTATAACATTTTTGATAAATGTAACATGTAATCTTACAAATGAGCAATCAGGGGTACAAAAGCAAGAAATGACTCGTAAGTAAGGTAGTAGCTGCTGTTTTGTGATTATAATTCCACTTTGAATAAATTAATAATACTTTAATACAGAAATTTGTTGTGCTGCAATTACACCAGCCTACAGCAAAAGTATACATTTTTGTATAACTATTTTTATATGAGTGTACTTTTTAATAAATTCAGCAATATTAATGGCGATTGCTTTCTTTATGCATTGCCTGGTTTATTTAAGCCCAAACTGACTGTGTGCACTAATCTGAGAGCACCTCGTGAGAACATGGTGGACATGTTGTGTTTACTCCATGTGGTCCTGCGGATATGAAAGCGATTTCAAGCCAACACTTCCGGACACGCCCCCAAACAGTTTGAACAGCCAATCAGTGACGGAAACGAGCCCCCTCAATACACACAAACCTTATCCGCTCATCACCCAGTGATTTCTGAACGCACACACTTGTTTGTTTGTTTTTAGCTTTCGTTTAATGAAATATAGTCGAGTAAAATTTTTTCAAACACCAAGAGATGTTACTACTACAAAACCAAAACTACAGTTAAAGCACCGTGTGACACGTTTGGTACAAAGCATTTCAAGTCTCGGTTCAATCTAATTTTTTCCCCTCGTGACACGTGAGACGGGTCGTCTTGGGTGTGTTTGTTTACATTAATGTTTATGCGACGGTGACACGTTGACTTACAGCCGCGCAGCTAACGTGAAGCTAACACCATAAGCGGTCACGTGAGACTTGACTTTGACCAGCAATCACAAGACATTAACGTATATAAATGTGTAAAGATTAATCATTCAAATTAATTAGTTCTAATATAAGGTTGTGCACATTTGTTTCTCGAAACTATAAAAAAACCAAACACCTTCGGGAGTCCGGGTAACTGACGCTCAGTAGGCCAAGAACAGATGAGCTAAGTTTGCTAACAGCTAACATCCAGCTTGACTTGAGCCACACGGGATTTGCGGGTTAAAGTAACCAGAGAGGAAGTCTTAATGTGTCGCTAAATACATAAATAGAAATACTAAAATAGCAGTGAAGACATAAGCAGTTACTTAAATATTTAAAAAAGCATTCGAAGTTTGGCACCAGTGTCAAGAAAAACTTTGTACTCTCCTATCTTTTCTCCCATTTATGCGCGTTTAAATAGGAACGTTTAGTAGGCTAAGCTAAATGCCCAACGAAAGATACCTTAATGAGATAAAATAAAAACCTGCATGCATGTTTGGTTTTAATTGTAAATACTAACAGGGCATAAAATATCAAGACTGCGTGTGATATGCAGGCCGCTGAATGAAAACATTAACCGCTGTGGCACGCTCGTGTTACCGTAACAAGCCTATCCGCGGCAGCTACGTTAACGGCCAGCACTCACTCTCTGGGCAGCGGCAGCGGCGGTGCCCCTCTTCGCTGGAACACCCCGTCAACAAACACGCCGTTCTTGCCCAGACACCGTAGGGAGAAGCCGACCGCCTCGTCGTAGATAATCTGCAGGTGTCGCCTTGAAATGAAACTCGAGTGACCCATGTTGATGTCCACAGAGCCGTGGGACGAGTTCCGGCCTATGGTGACCGTCCTCTGGCGCATGACAAACTCAAAATCCCGGCCCTCGAGCCTCGCCAGGGCCTGCGGAGGAGTAGAGGAGAGCCTTGCAGAAAAATGCCCGACGTCGTTGCGACCTTCCATTATCGGAGGACCCAGGATGGGTAGCGAGGGCTGATGATAGGCGTGAGAGGTCACCGCGACGCGCACAGGGCTGCACGGGGCCGACTGTAAAGCTAACAGGGCTCGAGCTCCGGTGTCTTCCCGGTAGTCCGCCATCTTTTGTTCCTGGATAGTCAAAACACTCACTTGCACTCGCAACTTCACTTCTCAAGCAAAGACAAGTTGCAACGTGAGAGTTTTCGGACAGAGCACTTGTTCACACACAGCCTGACGGAACAACATGGACTCCAGTCGGTCCGATGCAAGAGCTGGAACGGATTCTGGAATTGGACTCATGGTGCGTTCACGGCCCATTCGGGTCAATCAGATTCAAGATGGCTGCCAGTCACTAGCAAAGCATAAACGTAGCTACAACTTACAACAGTTTTGCAAACATTTAACTATGATTTGATGTGGTAGTAGCAACACACATTATATTTTATTTATTGTTTATTTGATAGGGACATTTACAAGAAACATAGATCAAAACAATCTAATGCCTGCATCATAGCCAAAGCTAATTCGTAACACCCGTCCCTAGATGGGCCTTTAACAGTTGGTTAAATGAAAAGTTAAGATCAACAGTAAAAAACAAATTAAAATTATATATATAAAAAAATTTAAAACTATTGAGTTAAAACAATTACAATATTTAAAAAGGAGTACAATTCTGGTTGAGCTCTAACTGATTCTAACTGAGTTTTGTTTAAACACTTTGCCATTAACTATATTCAGTTCATTTCAGTTTATATAGCACCAATTCACAACAGAAGTCATCTCAGGGCACTGCACAGAAACACTAAATCAAGTCAACTCTGTTGTGTTGGCAAAAAGTTTCATTTATACATATTTAAATGAAACTTTCAAGTTCAAGTATATCTTTACTGTCGTTCGCATCACGTGGTACATGAGATGGAACGAAACTGTGGACTCGAGGTTCCAGTTATACCCAAAAATGGCAAAAATATAAAGAAGCAGTATACAAAGATCTAAGATATATGCTAAATGAACACTAAACAATAGGCTAAAAGATCTATATATGCTAAATACTAATAATGTAAAACAATATGGTGTATTAAACAGCAGCCCGAACACTAGTCTGTAGTGAGTAGATGGGTATGAATGAATATGGATAATCAGCAGCACAGATGAGTCACATATCACCTGGTAAAGTGGCATTACAATGACAGTGCAGGTTATTAACAGGTTTTTCAGGTTATAATTATTGGATGTACAACTATGATGGATTAGCTTTTTGGAGCAAAGCCAAATCAAGATGGCCTCCACGGTCAATTCACTGTTGAAAACATATAGATCAGTCCCATTTTTACACGCTACCAAGGTTCAGTGTGCTTGTAGCTAAGAGTCGTTTACAACCACTCATTGCACAACATCTTTGCATTGACTGTTCAAGTTAACCCTGTGGGAAACATAAACATTTAGAACTCGTCATTTTACAGATATTGAGCTGAAACATGTAGTGGTCGTAGCCGAGAGTCATGAATAAAATATACTGAATGTGAAATTGCTCATTTTTCTTTTAATGTTTGACCAAATTAGTTGCAACTCCATCATTTCTCAAGGCAAGATGAACTTAAAAAGTCTTCTGTCATGAACGGCAGTGGGGTATAAGCATTTACATTCTTCTATTTGCTTCTTACAAAGAGCTAATCTGTCTTTAGTACACCAGGAACTTGAACCTTTAAGTAAACTATTCACAATAAATGAGGCATTTGTTGTGCTTTCCTGGAAGTAATTAGATATGAAAGGTAATTTGTCACCAGCAAAGGGCTATATAATGATCCAATTTGTTTTATGTGACCTTCAGGCCTTCTGCGCCGCTACGTTTGTTATTATTGCTATTGAAAAATGTTCTAAATTGGTATTTAGATGCGTCCACCTAATATTCCTGTTATCTCTTTGATATGTTTACTTTTTAAGTAAATTAACCAAATGTAATTCTGGATCTTTCCCCTCAATGTGCTGTTAATGAGAACACTGACCAGGCTTGGATATCAAAATCCAAGTTTCTTTTATTTGTCATACACACCGCATGTGGTGGAACGAAATTATGTAAACCGGTCCCAGTTACATCCAACAAAAGTATAAAATGTAAAGAAAAAAGTAATAAGATCTAAGATATGAACTAAGAAAGACGTTAAACTAAAAATTTGCTTAATAGTACAAAGTGCTTTGCAATTTATTTTACTTAGATATGTTTAATTATCTGGTGGTGTTCTGATGCATGCTCAATAATCCAGGTAGAAAAGTCTAACAAAGTTAAGTCAGGTCCTCTGGACAGATTCTTCTTTGTTGAAACGTTTCGTCTTTTATCCAGAAGACTTCTTCAGTCTGAGGAGCTGCAACAAACTCAGTCTTAGAAGCAGCACCTGCTCATAGTGGATCAACCAGTTCGCTGCTGATGGCCAGAACCAACTAGCTGTGGAAATAAAGGGTAAATAAAAATAAACAGCACAAGTTGAACAACTGAGTGATAAAGTTAGAGAGGCCAGACTGAGATGGTTTGGACATGTCCAGAGGAGGGACAGTGGGTATACTGGTAGAAGGATGTTAGAAATGCAGCTGCCAGGACAAAGACAAAGAGGAGATAAATGGATGCAGTTAGAGAGGACATGGAGGTGGATGGAGTGAGGACAGAGTGGGATGGAGGAGGATGACTCGCTGTGGAGACCCTGAAGAGGGAAAAGCCGAAAGAAGAAGACTTAGATATGTTTAACATTACGCAATCCCCCCATTATTTAAGGATCCAACTGGATCATATCTGTCAAACTTTACAACATAAATTCCCTTTGTCAAAAATCATGTTTGACTTCTTCCTGTCATACAACATTTATATTTCCTTTGGAGCAGATGGCTGCTCGTCCTGAGCCTGGTTCTGCTGGAGGGTTCTTCCTGTTAAAATGGAGATTTTCCTTCCCACCGTTGCCTTTGTGCTCGCTCAGGATGGGAGACTGCGATGAAGTGAAGACTCAACGAGTCTGCTGGCTTCCTTAGATCGATAACTTTTATTAATTGGCTTTTTTATGTACGTGAATGCTTCTCTTCAGTGTCCTGACTCTGTTGTGACTTGGTGCTATATAAATAAACTGAATTGAACTGAATTATATTCACATTTTTTCCTCACCCAGTCAGTGTAGCTTCCAGTATCTGCTCTTTTTAAAACTGCACGTTGTGTTTAGAGGTGTTTGTGAAAGCGCATGTAATTTAGATCTATTAAATTTAGAATAAATATTAAGAACTTATATGTAAATAATCCAGAAGATTGCACATACAAAGAGTGAAGCAACTTAAAACTAGGGGGGAATGATCCTGATAGTGAGTAAAAATAATCAAAAGGGAAAATATAGTTCCGTGTACCGGACAATGATAAGTGAGACCGTCTCAGATTTTGTGGGCTGTTGAAAAGCAAAGTGTTTGGATATTTAATGATTTACAGATCAGCAGTTTGTAGACAGTTCATGTCTTTCCAAGGTCTTTACAAATCAGTTTCAGTGCTGGCCGCAGAAATGGAAATTCAGAAGTCGCTGTTAAACACAAAAAATAAGACTGTCTTTTTGCAGTGTAGCACAGATTCATGACATGTTGCCTTCCCTGAACGCCACATGTAGGCCTCTCAGTTACACTCATGAGTTTTTGTTACTTCGGTTTTATTGATGGTCTGAGATATTAGAGTATATATGAGAACCAATCATTTATTTCCCTTTTTTAATGTCAATACCTGACTGCGGTTCAGAAAATTATTCGCTTTTATCTAAAAGCTTCCAAAAACAGCAGAAGTCAGTCCTAACTCTGAATTAAGTAGATATTACAGATGCGTTTAGTTGACAGTAATGTCACATAATTACAGTGTATTCAGCAGATTGTAGGATCTTAAGCACATCTGGTGTCTGCAGGAGCTGGTTTGCTTAGCTCAGTTGTTTCTTTTTTTTTTTATCTCTAACCTCTGTTTATAAACATGGAAAGAACAAGATGGCTGACAAACCTGGACAGTGGATCAGTGGGGGAGCAGGAGCGCACACAGGGAGCTGAGCCAAAACTTCAGCTTCTCTTCCACAGGAGGGCATTGTTAGAACAGAAAACATGCTCAGAGGCAAAAAGTCTGTGGATTTTTTGTTTGAGTCATGGAGTTATAAATTCATAGATTACCTGTAGATGTAAAACCACATCCATAAATAACTAAAAGATCATTTAAAACTCAACATGTGATGAATATTTTTTACACAGGAACTTTAATACGCCTGCTGCCTCTGCAACTGGGCAATAATGTGTGCATTTGTCAGCAAAATATCTCATGAACTACTGAAAATTTTTTATTTAAACTCGCACACTGGATATAT